GTGCGCAGCACGGCGAATGCTGTCTGCAGGTGGAGACGTGCACTGCGTTGCCCTTGGTCTCCACCAGCACTGGGCACCGGGACTCCCCCTAAACCAGCCTCCCCTTGGAGCGACAGATCTGTTAATGCCACTCAAGAGTCCTCGGCTGGTTAGCGAGGCTTCCTCCAGCTGCAGGGCCCTCACCATAAGCCCCTCTCAGGAGCTTTGAGATCCAGGCCCAGCGCCTTGTTTCCAAGTGCATTTCACAGGCTCATCGGAGAGCAGGGTGAAGAGCGGACTGTGAGTCCCTTGGGGCAGCGATCACCATCTGGGCTTGGAACTGAATTGTGGAGTGGAGGCAGGAGACAGGCTGGTGTGATCAAGGTGGGGGCGGGCTCCACTGCCCCCGAGGGTCTCTCCATGAGCTAAGTGTGGACGTCAAGCCTTCTTTTCCTTCTTAGGGAGAGAGCCCTCGGCCGCCTCCAGTGAGGGAACAGGCTGTGTGGTCCACCCTGGGCCTGTCTCTGGAATGACACCTGGGGCGGTGGGTGCGACGGCTGGGCTCTGGATGGGTATCTCTGGGGACCAGGGTCTGTCCCTGTGGAAGCCCCTTCCTTTCGCTGAACCTCAGTTTCCCCATTTCTAAGGTGAGAGTTGGATGAAGCCGTCCCAGGTCCCCATGGCTCTGTTAAATCTGTTTTCACGTATGCCTCCTTCCAGCCCCTCACCTTGGCCCGCCCTCCTTGCCTCCCTGACCCGGCAGATGGGCCTGGACAGGCTTGGTGGGACCGGGGTCCAACAGACACTCCAGTACATGAGAAGGGCTGGAGGGGCACTGAACTCGGGAACTCAGAGGGCGGGCAGCTGTGTCACGACCAGCTGCATTATTTACAGGGTCTGGTGCGTAACGAAAACTTGTTCAAACCTTTCGAATTGGTGAACAGCAGAGCACTAAAGCAAGTGCAGGCTCTGCTGAGCCTGGGGCCGGGAGGGCTGCTCAGGTCACGTGCCAGCCCGCGGGCCCCGGCTGCTGGGGCACTCCCGTGGGGGAGCCCCTCTGTGGGCTCTCTCTGGGTAAGGGGTGGGGTCTCGTGCCCACCCGGTTCTTGAGCTTCCCCGCCGAGGGTCAGGATGGGCGTCGCTGTGCGTGCCCCGTGGGGCTCAGGAACAGCGGGTTCACCACCCTTGGGTGGCGTTTGCTGGCGTCAGAAAGAGAGGGTGGTCCAGATGGACGGGCTCCGGGAGGAACCCGCAAGTGCCTGGGGGAGCAGGGCTGGCTGTGACAGTGGCCTGAGGGACAGCTTCTCTCTCCTCTCTGGACCAGCTTCTGCCCGGGGGTACTCATTCATTCCCTCACCGACTCATCCACTCATTTCTGCATTTGCTCAATGGATATCGGGGAGCTTTGCTCCGTGCTAAGCCTTGGGGAGTTAGGCTGGAGCCAAGTGGAACATGTCCCCTCCTGCGTGGAGCTTCCAGCCCCGCAGCCTCAGGGACGGGCAGGTGGGGGAAGTCCAGAGAGACTGGCTTCTCCGATGGTGCTACAGGCTGGCCTTTTAGGGTGGAGGGCTCCTGGGCCAGACCTGGGTGATGGCACACCCAGGGGAGACAGGGGTATCTGCGTGTCCCGTGCTTGCAAGGCAGACGTCACAGGGAGGTGGGGGCAGGGAGGACACGTGAACCAATGAAAGCCCTGGATTGGCCACAAGAGGTCCCTGGTTCTGCCACGTGCGATGTCAGGCAGGTCACTTGGCAGCTCTGTGCCTCGGTTTCCTCATCAGTAAAATGGGAACAATAGTGGTCGCCCCTCCCTGTGGGGCTGTGTGGGGACTGATGAGCTGATGCCCATAATGTGCTGAGTTGGCACAGAGTAGGCGCCCGGCACCCCCTCACTGTGAGCCTGCTCACCACCAGGGCCCCCAGGACCAGAAGTGAGAAGATGAGACTGAGTGTGACGTGGGACCCGAGGGGCCATGGTGACAACGACGCTGTCACCCGTCCTCCCTTGGGCAGGGGTAGCTCGCAATCCTTGTGTCCTCGGTTGTTCCTGATCGTCTGGAAGGACTCCTGTGGGCTGTGGGCTCAGGCGGCCTCAGGATGGGAGGAGACCCTTGGCAGTGGCTGGGCTGTAGAAGCACCCACTCACATTCCGGATTTTTTTCCCATCCAGATCTAAGCACCCGGAGCTACGGTAACACAGCAGCCACTGGAAGAACTGTTCCTAGATGTTTCACTTCCAAAGCTGTTAGCTGAGGACCCCAGAAGGGCATAGCATAATTTTCAGTTCTTTGAAACTACTTTTAATAGAAGTTTCTTCTGAAAACACGGACTTTCAGCCTCGAGTTACGAGCCCTGACTCTGATGTCACATCCCAGCTCGATGGCTTACGGGAGGTGTAGTTTGGGCACAGTATTTATGCTCTCTCTTTAGTTTCTTCATTGTCAGAGGGGGATGATAATAGGAGCTGCCTGGTAGGGTGCCGGGACGTATAAAGAGAGCTGATGTGTGTAAACCGCATAGCCCAGTCCTCTGCACGTCGGTCACTGAGCTGACGTCAGGGAGTGTAGCCGTGAGAGCGGGGGTCACTTCTTGGTTCATCCTCCCCTTCGCAGAGGGAGCTGGCTGTTATCTCCTTGTGGTAGATCCGGGAACTGAGGAGCACCGAGCTTGACAGGTCTGAGCCCAAGGCAGAGGGGCCCTCCCGCTGCCAACTGCAGTGTCAGGGGTGTTGGCCGGGGCTCTGCCAGGGCTGACCCCTCGCTCCGGGCAAGCACGACCTTGGGGCCTGGCCGTGGGGCCCAAGCTCTCATTCAGCTTAGTGGGTAAGGCGGCACCCGGAGAGCGACACTATCCACTGCACCAAGAGTGGAGGGTGCGTCCGATGGAAGAGGGCGACTTGTGAACGGATGGCCAGCAGGGGAGGGGCCTGCCCAGGGTGCTCGCCTCTGCCTGGCTTTGTGGCCTTAATCATTGTTCCTTTGGCAACGCCACCCTTATTTCTCAACACGTGGTTGAGTGCTCATTGTATAGCAGGGGCTGTGCCCAGTGCTGGGACATAGAACAGGACACAGTCCCCTCCCTCAGAGGGCTCGTTGTCTAGCGGTAGAAACAGACCCTGTGAGCTGTGTTGAGGGGGCAGGAAGCACAGGATCAGAGGGAGTATGCAGAGGGCATTGAACTCAGGGGAGGAGTCTGGGAGACTTCCTGGAGGTGGTGTCAATTGGACTGAGATCTGAAAGTTGAATTGGAATTAACCAAGGAATTAGGAGTGAGGGGCAGGGAAGAGGGTCCCAAGATGAGGAACAGCTTGTGTGAAGGCCCAGAATGGCTGGAGCTTAAACGAAGGGGGGTGAGTGTGAGTGGAGAGTCTCTGTGGAAGGGAGTGGGCTCAGTCATCGTCCACAGCGGCAGATCTAGTACACGTGGGCAGAAGTTACTAGGGGACAGAGCTCAGCCCACAGAAGGACCCAAGCACCACATTAGGGGATGAGCTCCCCGTCTCTCGAGGTGTGTGAGCAGAGCCCAGATGGCAGGTGCTTGATGAGGATGTGGGGTTGAGGATTCCACACTGGATGGGACCAGATTAAACAGACTCTGAGGTCTCTTCCAGCTGTCACACTCCAGCTCTCGAAATCCCCTGTGGCAACAGCAAGACTATAAAATATAAATCAATAGGTTAAAAATACGCTTGTCTCCCGCGCGTTCAGGCCCTGTCATTCTGCCTGCCTGCCTGCCTTCCTCCGTCATCAGAGGATTCTGGCCTGACTCGGGCGGCCTGAGAGCCTTGCAGGAAAAAATTGCTTTGTTCCCGAGCGAGGCCAGGCCATCCCGCCTGCACTGACGAGGCTTCGATTTTTTTTAATCATCGCTACCTCTAAAATGCACACCGTCTGGGCTCGGTTGACATCCCCCTCATATCTTCCCTGCTTTAATCACCAGGGTAAGAAAGATCAGCCAAACTGTGTCTGCAGCGGTCACGCCCCCAAGGATCGAGAGCGGAGAAAGTTCTGCTGGCGTGAAGGAGCCAAGCTTGGGCATGGCCAGTGTGGTGACCCCAAATTAACCAGGCTAACGGCTCCACTGGGAACCAGGGGGATTCCCTTTTGCCTCCCAGGGTTCCCATGGCAACAGGAGTGTTGGGAGCAGCTAATAGGACCTGGCAGTGAGTGAAATTCAGTTTGACGTGCGGGAAGTGCAGAGGCTAGAGGGGTAACGGGCGGTAAGGCTCTCTTCCCGCCGGGCGGGCCAATCTCCATTTTCTTTTGTTGTTTGTACGTTTGTTTCCAAGAACTCTTGGGTGCTCTTAAACACGTTTATTTTCATTTTTATAAACAGTCGTCTTTTCTGCAAGACAGGCTATGAAAACAGCTTTGTTAAGCACGGCCCAGTGTGTGTGGAAAATTGTTTAACGACAACAAAAAAAAGCGTGCGCGCCGTCGACGATTGATGGACCGCCTCCAGCTGTCCCGGCTGTTCTCGGCCTTCCCAGCCCACTGTCATCGGCTCTGCCCTCAGCCCGCTCCCAGGAAAGTCGCGACAGCGCGACTTCCGGGGCCTGCTCCTGTCTTGGGCGCAGCCCCAGTGGCTGTTTCTGGCTGGGCTTCAGGTCGCTCTTGAAGGTGCCGGTGGAGACAAAGCGCCATCTTCAGAAGCCTTGCTGATGGGTTCTTTACTCTCCCCGGGACCACCGCCTCCCTGTCCCTTTCACCGCAGTTTAGACTGTCCAGGGCTGAGTCTGAATTGTTCCCAGCGAGGGGCAGCTACTGGGTGGACCTCACGGGACTGGGATGTTCCCAAAGTCAGTCTGAAGAGCAGAAGCGAGTTTTCAGAGCAGAAACAAGGCCCGTGTCTGAGCTCTGGTGCCAGGTGGCCGGAGCCCCCGGGGATGCCAACGGGGAAAGGCCCCGGGCAGCTGACACTCGAGAGACCCCAAATCCTGGGGGCTGGGGGTGTCATCATATCTTCTGTGAGAACCTTGAAACACGCTGACTTCTGCCTCTTTCTTTCTGTTGCCATCACAGGTGATCTTGATCCTGACGAAGTATTACCATGCAGACATGGGGAAGGTTCTGGAAAGTTCCCTGTGGCGGTAAGTCAGCCCGAGGGTGGGCTTTTCTCCTCACACCCCAGTGCGTCTCCCGAGGCTGAGGGCTGAGATCCGAATGCCCACTGGAGCGGCCCCTGTGAGTTGGCAGACCTTTCTTTGTCTAGAAAATGCACACAGGAGAAGTTGAAAGCAAATGAAGAGTTTTGTCAGTGGGCACGGGCAGCGCCGGAGAGCTGACACCGATCAGAAAGCGTCTTTGCTTTCTTTCCTTTTCTTTCTGTTTCTCTCTCTCCCTTTTCTGCTCCCCGGAGGGAGGAAGAGGGTTCGCATTGTGAATTCAGGTCAGTGCACAATTTCCCTTCGCTTGTGCTCTGAACTTCAGACGCAGCTCCCGGGGCCACGAAATACACAGAGCCCGCTCATTGTTCAGGCGTTTTTCTTTCTTCCTGGCTCAGCCGAAGAGCTTGGTAAATAAATAACCCGCCGACGACGGGGGATATCTCTTTCTCTGTGTGATGTGACTTCAGTCTAAGGACATTAGGCAGCCCTTTGATGATTTAAGTGAGGTGGGAGAGAAGCAGGTTTTGAGAAACCATTTCGGTTATTATCATTCAATATTTACATCTGCTCCCCCAGGAAGGGGGAAGGAAGGTGCCCAGTGTCATGGGCTGGGTTTCAAAGCTTTTCTCAGGCAAGGATTCTGTTTCCTCTGTGCCCCGCTCACCGCTCCGCGTTCTCGGAGTGTTCAACCATTTTGGTTTCCAAGATGTGTTCCTCAAGTAATAATTCATTTTTCTATTTGAAATCCATAAAAATACTAAAACCTGCTGATCAAGACTCCTGATTTGTGTGCAACCATCTTGAGTTGATTTATTTTCGGCTTTTGGCTTTGCTGTTAGCTAAGGGGCTTGAGGGTTCCTTCTGTTGGTTCCTGTTGAGGGATTTTCGTGATGCTGGGAAAGTTGTGGACGTGGTAACCAGAGTTGGGTCCTTTCTTTGCTATATAAGGAGCAGTGTTGTCTTGGGGCCAGCCGGCTTGGTCACCCGTGGTGCTAGTGAGGCCAAGGTTGGGGACAGAGCCTCCCACGCTGCCCTGAGTTTTTCTTCGCCCTCCAACAAAAGCACCTGTCCCAGCCAGCCCTTCTCAGCTGTGGAATCACCTCCCAGTCTCTTCCCGCCTGCTTCCCAGTTCCTTCCAGCCTCAAGAGAAGGAGTCAGCGACGGGCCACGTTCCTACAAAGAGAACAGATGTCCTCCCGCCAGGACCCCCATGACTTTGTGTGTTGGTAGAGTGTAATTTCGTGCCTTGCAGCAGCTCATCTACCAAGGAGACTTAGGAGGATTGCTCTCAAAAAGACCGCTCCAGGGTTGGATGAGGCCGTTCGTTGTTCGGAGCGAGAGCGGAAAATGGCATGAGCATTACAGTTCAGTGAAATCTCCTGGGCCGCTGTCTGAGGGTTTACGTTCCAGGAGTGGTTTCAGGGCGAGGCTCCTTGGGAAGGGCCGGCCCCTGGAGGGGCTCCCTCTTACTAGGCGGATGGGCCAAGGACAGGTCCCCTCGGCTACAAAGTGGGCAGAGGCACCTGAGTCTCCTCCTCCAGGCAGGAGTCCTCAGCTACCTCGCTTGCCCCAACTCCTGCGTGTCAGTCGAGCACTGAAGGGCCAGCGACCTTCACCAGCACTCGCTGATCCATCCCGAATGCCAGGTTTCCTCCACTCTGGCAGCAAATCAGCGTGGCTGGCCACGAGGAAATGAGAGTCTTTTAAACGTTGTTTGAATAGCGAACGGTCCTTCCTGGTGTCATCTGTGCTCACACCGACAGAGTTGAGGGTGTAGTTAAAATTTGCTGGGGGTCCTTGTGGGGATGGTGGTGGGTGCGACTGACCTGGACCAGCCCCAGGGTGGGGGATCCAGTGCACCTTGTTGACGGGCTCCAGACTCAGAATTCCTCAGAAGCAGGCGGGGAGGCCAAGAGGCCAAACCACCCACCTCAGAGCTGCACCTCGGGGCTTCTCCTCCCGAGAGCCTCAGTCTCCTACCTGTGAAGTGGAGATAAAATACCCTTGAGTGCAAGGGTGTGAGGACCCAATGAGGTAACATATGAACGTCCCTAGAACGGTGCACAGTCTAAATTTAGTTTTCTTCAAAGCAAAGGAACAGATTTTAATGTTCCCTGCTCCTTTCTCATCACTGTCTCTGTACCCAGACGTTTTCACTCTTATCAAAAATACGTGCAAAAGCCTTCGTCATTTCAAGAAAGTTCAGCCCTGCCTCCACCCTGGGGCACAATTACTGTCTCTGTTTATCTTCTCTCCTGTGTGCCGACGTGTTTATGTAGTGAGACGCAGGATCGCGTTGTGCAACCTGCTTTCTTTCACACATCTCGCGTTTCCTGTTCTCCGTGCTGCACCGGGGCCCGCATCGTCATTTTTTTATGGCCGTGTACTGGCCCCTCAAGTTGATTCCTTCTAATACTTAGCTGTGATGCTGTCATAAAAAATTTAGGCCTGCAGTTTTCCTTTTCATTTTGTTCCCTGGGATGAATCTTGGGGAGTTGCGTTCCTGAGCCAGAGAGTGTGAGCAGATTTATGGCTGCAGCACTGAATTCTTTTTCAGGAGGAAAGCAAGCCTCCACGGGGGGCGGGGCCCTGCCTCCTGGCCGGTATTCTTTCTGACGGCTTTTGTACAGCTTCCTAACCTAACAGGCCCAAACAGACCTCAGTGTTGTTGTAATTTGCATCCCTTTGATTCCTAGTGAGAGTGAGCAGTTTAGTGTTTAATTACTAATCACGTTTCCTCTTACGAGCGCGTTATGTCCTCTCTACTCGGGGACTTGTGTGAATATTGTTCAGAAGTGTAAAGATTGCCATTGGTCTTTTGTCGGGATGCCACCCCACCCTTTGTCTGCTGTTTAAGGCCCGTGTAGGCAGGAGTTTGGCAGTGCCCGAGCCTGGAGAACACGGATTAAATGGGGTTGTTAAAGACATACTTATTGAACGTGCGCTGAACCTCCCAAGAATTCACCTGCGTAATCGCAATAAATACATTTTTAATGACAAGTATGGTATTTACTTTCTGGAAGTGGCTCTCCGAAATCTAAGCTGAATGCATTTTTAATTGTCCTGCGTTTCATGGGCCACATGTCAGCAGCGGCTCCCTCCCGGCTTCGATGATCCAACCCTCTGCCCCTTTCTTCTGGGTCAGTGGTGTTCTCCACTCAGCCTCTGGGACCCTTTGATTTAGTGCTAGAAGGGGTGGGGAGGGAGCGAGCCCCTCCCTGCTGGGAAAATCGCTATCTGGCATCAGGGGTTGGAAGGCATAGAGCTGGTCCTCCACCTGCATCGCCCCTCCCAGAGCCGCCCAGGACCAATGGGAACCAGAGGAGCATCTCACTCAGACCAGCCCACCCTGCCCTTGCCCGCACGTCCAGTTTGTGCCAGCGTGTCGGGGCTGCTGGAACGAATGACCACAGGCTGGGGGCTTAAAACAATGGGAATTGACTCTCTCACAGTCCTGGAAGCCTGAAGTCTGAAATCAAGGTGTGGGTGGGGCCACACTCCCTCTGAGGCTCTAGGGCAGGATCCTCCTGCCTCTTCCAGATCCTGGTGCTGGGGGCATTCCATGTGGCCGCATCACTCCAATCTCGGTCTCCGTCTTCCCGTGGCCTTCTCCTGTGTGTCTGACCTCTGTGTGTTCCTTATAATGACATGGATCATTGGATTTAGGGTCCACCTGGCTATGCAAGATGATCTCGTCTCAAGATCTCTAACTTGATTCCATCTGCAAAGACCCCTTTTCCACAGAAGGTCACACTCACAGTCTCCGAGGGTTAGGACATGGATAGATCTTTTTGTCACCACCATTCAGCTCACTGCACAGTCCTTCATCAAACTCTGGTGATACCACCTGGATCCGATTTCCTGAATGGCTCTTGCATCTGTGCCCGTCTCCCCGTCCCCTCAGCCATGCTCTCTCTCCGCCTTTCTACCCTCATGGGGTCCCAGAAGACTTCCCCAGCTCACCCCCAGCACTCCTCGCTCCCCCTCCAGGCCCCACTCCCTACAATGCTCCAGGGACTTGAGAGGCACACGCCCTCGGTGGCTCCTCGTGGCCAGCTGTGATCCCGACCCTCCCTGTCCCAGCCCAGGTCGGGGAATTCGGTGGGCAGAGCCAGGAGCTGCTGTGACCAGTGTAGAAGAACGCAGGCGCTCGTGGCGCCTCTGAGGCATTCACGTGCAATATGTGTCTACTGCATGACAGAGCTGTAGCGATGTTAAAATAAAGAGAAATAGTGTTTGAAATGTGAAAATCAGCAACAAAATGCTCTGTAGATGGCCCCCCACGCTCCACGTCTGTCTTGCGGGAGGATGTCACTAGGTTCTTCCCGTGGTTCGGGGCACGCACTGCCAGGTGCTGGAAAGTTCAGACTGATCGGGTGACCCGCAGGAGCTGAGGGGGCTCCCGGGATGCTGGACGTTCAGTCTGAAAACCAGGAGCAACTGCTTTTCCATTGCCGCCTGAGCCCTCCTGCCTTTCTAGACCCTGTTTTCCTGATAGCGGCTCCGCCCGTAACTGTAGTTCTGTTTAAGTTCCGTGTGTGATTTGTGCTTCATACATAAAGATTAAGATTTTTCACACCCCTCCGGAACCAATTTTGGCCGCCTTGAGGGAGATATGGTCCCCAGTTGAAGATCCACATCCTAGAGAAGGGCTTCTCCCACCTTCGGATGCCTGGGAATCACCGGGGGTCTGGTTACAGCTCAGATTCTGACCCCAGGTCTGGGCGGGCCTGAGCCTCCGCAGTTGTAACAAGTTCCAGACGATGCTGATCTGTTGGTCCATGGAGCCCACTCCGAGTGGCACTTAGCAGTGCCTGGCATCCGTGTCCCACCCCAGAGACGCGCATTGGCTGGTTCTGGGCGACGGCCGGGGCGCAGTTTCAGGAGCTGCAGGGTGCTGCCGGCTAGCCTGAGCTGGGGTCCTGAGAGGCCCATTTGGTGTCTCTGCAGCTGGATCCCGAATGGCCAGTGAGGCTCAGCTG